TTTTATACGTTTCCCAGTCCAATCTTCTGCTTACAAGATCGCCCTCCTGGACGAATGTCGTCAGGCTGCAGGTTGTGCAGAACAAGTTTCTCGCCCCATATAGACATTTTAGGAGCTGCACAACAAAGCAAACATGTTGATGGTACTGAGATTCATCATAGATTTAACCATTAAATTTTTTAAACAATGCGAAACTACAACTGGCACCATCTACTGCCAATTGCCAAATAAAAAACTATAGTTGGGGCAGGTACAGTAAAGAACGCCCTCCTATAATTTTGCCACGATAGATGTAGTCAAAAGAAAAATTATATGATTTAAACATAATTATATTGTAACTCCAGCATGTGTCACTAGGCAGAAACTCCCCTAAACTATTGTATTCAATTCTCTAATTTCGTGGTCCGATTACACGACATTTGAAAAATGGCAAAAGGAGGGTAAGCTCATAAGGTGGGGTTGAAATGTGGAGTTGATGTCCGAGTGGATCGAGGTCACGATAGCTCAGGTGGTAGAGCTAAGGCGTATCTAGCCGAAGGTCGTGGGTTCGAATCCCTCTCGTGCCATTAACTTTTTTTTCATCTCAACTAAAAACCTTAATTAATTGTATTGTATTCAATGTATACATCTGTAAATAAAATTTCTGTTCTCTGGTGGATAAACAAAGATGACGTTTATCGGCGTCTTTTACGGATTAAGTTTGTTTACTTTTTGTTTGTTCCAGTCGGTTCGTAAGAATATCTTGTCTATATTTTTGAGGGTTCTTTGTGATTTTGTGTTAGTTGAGTTGTGTAGTTTAGCGAAGCCTAAATGACCTCATTTGTTCTTTGTATTTGTTTCATTTTTCTTTCCGTCTGTTGATCTGTTTTTCTGCTTTTTATGCTGTTTTTCCATAGAGGGTTAGGCTTTTTATGTTTTGCCCCGGGTATTTTCCAAGTTTTTATGTTGTATTTAATGCAGATTACACGCGTAATTTGTTAGCTTAGTCGCGCACGTCTCTGTATGTATATATTGTCCATTTAATGTCTGCTTGAGGTGACGTTTTGCCTTTGGCTTTTGTTTGCTGAAGTCGTTGTTGTTTGGAGAGTTGTTACTGTTTGATGGCCATGTTCTTATTTCTAGGTTAATGTTTCATTCTTTCCGTCATATATTTGAGTCCTGCTATTTTGTGCCTTGTGCTTAGTTCGTGTCAGAACAGATGATGTTTGTTGGTAGTTTTATGTATATCGAACTGAATTTTATTGTTGGTTTTGTAACGAAGTTAATAGTATTGTGTTTAGATTCTCCAGTGATCTGTTTTTATGTAAGTCATTTGTTAGCATGTTGAAGATGCCGTCAACTTATCTGTCGATATGTTTAATGTTGTTTTGCTATAATTTTAGGGAAATATTTCTCATAGTTATGTAAGAAAACTTCTACAACTATTATTCTTTTCAGTATGTTCTAATGTATTATTTTATCTTCTTGTACGAACTATTATACTCAAAATATATTAATATTACCACAGCGATATTTGCGAGGGAGGCCGCGAGTCAACCAACACCACGAATCTCTTGACTCCCGTGATTCAGCCACACAAGAAACGATCGAAAAATCAATCAGCGCTTGCCTGGTTGCAATTTCCAGTTTACAAACTAGACCGACACTGCACAATAGAATGCAATTCTGTTTTTAACTGGACGACTGATGATATGTTGAATTCTGTAAATCTGAAGACACTCAAACCAGGGGGGCGTGATATACGTTGAATTTATTCAAATTTCTATGTTTTAACAGCCACAGCCGAATTAGGAGAGGACGGTGATGAAATTTTAGTTCAAACTTATCGATCCTGATCATGGCGAACGTCACGAAAGGTTTGCTCTTGTAATTAAAAACGGAAAGAAAAGAAAAGGGGGGAAAATTCAACCTTTCATTTCGGCCAAACATTTACTTTTGGCCTCTCTTTTAATTAAAAATTCGACAAAAAATGCCTTGAGTGGTTAAACTGCATGAGATTCACTTTTCGAGAGCTTTTTTATGACCAACGATACAATTATCTTCTAAATAAAAGAATTCTATCGAAAATATAAATTGTTGACGAAATAACTTTTGCATGTTGATTAAGTTGTAATCTTGGGTCCTGGGTAGTTCAGATTAACACTTTTTACCTTGCGGCAAATGGAAAAACATGAAGCTTTGGTACTTCATTATTTAATTTTGTGCACAATTTAATAACGCCCAGGTAGGCAATATTACGAGAAAACAACAACTAACTTATTCGTAACTGTTTGAATTTAGCCAAATTTTTTCGCTTATGTGTAAAAGTTAAGATATATAAGAACCATAACGCATAAACACAACCATAACAACGACACAAGCATATAACTTGCTTTATCTGTTACAGCACGTTCGAATATGCACATGCAGCCGCAATAAGCTGTATCCGTTAAGTATGTTATATGTATATGTACGGTGTTGGAAGAAAAGAAAATCGGGTCGCATCTGGCTGAAGTGTCAAACGTGCTACTTGTGGGAAAATAATAATAGATAATTGTCGTCTGGGGAAACGAGTACTCCTCGTGACGAGCGTAAGAGGGGGAGAAAGTAGAGAAGAAAATTCAATAAAGACCCCTGACGTTACTTTGAAAACGTTCAATAAGCAAACTTGCCGCTTTGGTACAACTAAAAGAAAAAGTTAAACACTGGGCACAAAATACAAAAACAAAAAAAAATTATGTTATTAAGTATGTAAATGAAAAAATCTAATTGTAAAATCGAACAAGGAAAATTCTGTCATTTGTCGACGACACGGTTTTCCACTTCTATTGTCTGAACATATCGTGAACGTTTAGTGACAAATTTGGACTAAGAAACCAAAAAAACAAGGCACTGTTGTATATAAAATTACCATTAATCCCAGAAAAAAATTTATCTTGCACAATACTGAACGTACCAATATAATATGTAATTAGATCGACGTGATAAATTCCACAAAATATCTAGGTATAATTCTGGGTAGTTTAAGATGCACAAAATAGATAAAGTTTAGTTAATAACTTTAGAAAATTAATGAATATTTTTATTAAACTTCAAAAAATTCTGTTTAACGCGATTAACAGTTATTTTTTAGTTCAAAGTTAACGTATTTAACGCAACACAGCATGGAAAAATGCATATATGTCTTTACTTTTTACGACACAGATAATCCCAACTTTCCAACACGTTCACCATCACTGGATGCATACATCCTCAGTAATTAAAAACTATTACTGGGCAGAAAGGATGTCCAAAAAATCCGACTTAAAGTGTATTTTGTTGGACAGGACTAATACAAGAACTAAAACGATATAATGTATATTGCAAAATAGTTGTTTAAATTGATCAAATTTAACAGAGTATGCTAAAATGCTGAAATTATAAAAAACCAAATTGTGTACCGACTAATATTGTATATAGTTGATTATACCGCTTTCAAAAACCACAAACTTAGCTTATATGTGGAAATTATTCTTAAGTACTCATGCTTAACCATAATCGAACCATTATTTATTTTTAAATAAAAAAGAATGTTCAAAAATCGATCTAATATAAATCAAATGGACTGAAATTCTTACAGATTGACAATTTTTATGGTTCCTTCTCTTGAAAATATAAGAGATGCATGTCTTCTAATTTAATTTTATGGAATATAAAACACCTAATATTAATTAAAAATACTCTCTATACGAGTAATAAATGTGTCATAAATATTCTTAGGCATTTATGACACGCTGATGCAGTGAAAAGTCAGTAAATTCGGGGCGGGGGGGATCTTATTTTAGTTGTGTTTGCTTTTTTAATTATACTACAGTCAATTTTGGTTGCAAGGGAATGTCACCCAGAACGAAAATCATTAGATTTCAAGCCTACAATTTAATTTACAAGTGTCTTACCGGCTTTAAAAATGTGAGTATCCAAAGTTTTACGTCTGTCGTTTATCGAATTGAAAAACAAAAATCATTAGCTCGAACCATTATTCATTATAATTATGTATTATTAATATGAATATTATTGTTAAAACAAAACAAACAAACTCGATCGATTATCAATTATCAATGCCTTCTATAATTGATAAAAATATAAGAGATTCGTAACTTTTGCAAATTTACTTTCACGTTATATGAAACACCTAATATTAAGTTTAAATGAAGCATGGTTAACAGAGTATGCTAAAATTTGAAATTACAAAAACTAAACTGTATAATGACTAATATTGGGTTGTCCGGAAAATAATGCAGGATTTTGGTATTAAACAAAAAAAAAGAAACTAGTTACTTTAAAGCAATGTTCTTTAATCAAAATAATTTCCCATACTCTCAATACATTTCTCCCAACGTGTTGGTAACTTATTAATTCCGTCTGAGTAGAATTCAGAATTTTTAGAATTGATAAAGTCAATAAATGCATTTTCCAGT